CCAGGTGTACTTGACCAGACTGTGGGTTCTTCAACCAGCACTTTGGTTGTAGAAGTGTCTTCTGACATGGTAGCATGGGCTGATCCTGAGCTGCTCACAGAAGTTGTAGAGTCTTCAGTCAAGGGAGTGGTCTGAGGACTGTGTGGAGGACCTGCAGTGTGTGTTGATTCCGGGTCACTGGGGAGGACTGAGGTGAGCTCAGTCTGGACAGTGTGTGGAGAGCCAGCAGGAGATGTGCTTGTGCCAGCTGCATCTGGGCTGCCTGGTGAGGCTGTTGCTCCCTCAGTCAGGACTGTGCTTGGCCAGCCTGCTGTGGACCCTGTGGAGTAGGGTGAGCTTGGGCTGAACGGGGTCTCACTTGACCCTTCATCCACAATGGTGGTCAGGGCACTTCCGGTGGCCACTGATTCCTGTATTGGACTTGCGCTGCTGGGGAATGGAGATTGTCCAGTCAGGACGGTGGATTGGGCGGTGTCATCTGGAAGAGTTGTGTGTGCAGGTCCTGAGCTGCTAGCTATGGGTGTTGTTCCTTCCACTGGAACTGTGGATGGGGAGCTGTCAGGTGACACTGTTTTGTGTCCTGGCCCTAGGCTGCCTGGGGAGCCTGTGGGTCCCTCAGTCAGTTCAGTGGTTTGGTGGATGTCTGATGGCTCTGACATGGGTGATGAACCAGGTGTACTTGACCAAGCTGTGGCTGTGAAGCTGTCAGATGACATGGTAGCATGGGCTGATCCTGGACTGCTCACAGAAGTTGTAGAGTCTTCAGTCAAGGGAGTGGTCTGAGGACTGTGTGAAGGACCTGCAGTGTGTGTTGATTCCGGGTCACTGGGGAGGACTGAGGTGACCTCAGTCTGGACAGTGTGTGGAGAGCCAGCAGGAGATGTGCTTGTGCCAGCTGCATCTGGGCTGCCTGGTGAGGCTGTTGCTCCCTCAGTCAGGACTGTGCTTGGCCAGCCTGCTGTGGGCCCTGTGGTGTAGGCTGAGCTTGGGCTGAACGGGGTCCCTGTCGACCCTTCATCCACAATGGTGGTCTGGGCACTTCCGGTGGCCACTGATTCCTGTATTGGACTTGGGCTGCTGGGGAATGGAGATTGTCCAGTCAGGACGGTGGATTGGGCGGTGTCATCTGGAAGAGTTGTGTGTGCAGGTCCTGAGCTGCTAGATATGGGTGTTGTTCCTTCTACCGGGACCATGGATGGGGAGCTGTCAGGTGACACAGTTGTGTGTTCTGGTCTCAGGCTGCTTGGGGAGGCTGTGGGTCCCTCAGTCAGGACAGTGGTTTGGTGGATATTGGATGTCCCTGCAGTGGTTACTGAACCAGCTGTACTTGGTGTAATTTTGGATTTTTCAACCACAGTTCTTGTTGTAGAGCTGTCTGATGACATGGTAGTGTTTGCTGAGCCTGGGCTGTTCATAGAAGTTGTAGATTCTTCAGTCAAGAGAGAGGTTTGGAAAGTCCCTGAAGGCATGGTTGTATGTGGTACAGCTGAGCTCTCTGTGAAGGTGGAAAGTCTCTCAGAAACAACTGTACTTTGAGCATTTTGAGATGGCACAGTTGTGTGTTCTGAAATTGTGTTGCTTGGGAATGTGGCAGTCAGGTCCGTGGTGTGGTGGATGTCTGAGGGCACTGACATGGGTGATGAACCAGGTGTACTTGACCAAGCTGTGGCTGTGAAGCTGTCAGATGACATGGTAGCATGGGCTGATCCTGGACTGCTCACAGAAGTTGTAGCTTCTTCATTTCCAAGAGTGGTCTGAGGACTGTGTGAAGGACCTGCAGTGTGTGTTGATTCCGGGTCACTGGGGAGGACTGAGGTGACCTCAGTCTGGACAGTGTGTGGAGAGCCAGCAGGAGATGTGCTTGTGCCAGCTGCATCTGGGCTGCCTGGTGAGGCTGTTGCTCCCTCAGTCAGGACTGTGCTTGGCCAGCCTGCTGTGGGCCCTGTGGTGTAGGCTGAGCTTGGGCTGAACGGGGTCCCTGTCGACCCTTCATCCACAATGGTGGTCTGGGCACTTCCGGTGGCCACTGATTCCTGTATTGGACTTGGGCTGCTGGGGAATGGAGATTGTCCAGTCAGGACGGTGGATTGGGCAGTGTCATCTGGAAGAGTGGTGTGTGCAGGTCCTGAGCTGCTAGATATGGTTGTTGCTCCTTCTATGGGGACTGTGGATGGGGAGCTGTCAGGTGGCACTGTTGTGGGTTCTGGTCCTGGGCTGCCTGGGGAGCCTGTGGGTCCCTCAGTCAGTTCAGTGGTTTGGTGGATGTCTGATGTCTCTGTGGTGGTTGCTGAACCAGCTGTGCTGGGTGTTATTGTGGATCCTTCAACCACCATTGTCGATGTGAAGATGTTTGACAACTTTGTAGTGTGTGCTGATTCTGGGCTGTTCAGGGAAGTTGTAGATTCTTCAGTCAAGGAAGAGGTTTGGAAAGTACCAGAGGGCTTGGTTGTGCTTGGTACAGCTGAGCTGTCTGCCAAGGTAGAAGGCTTCTCAGATATAACTGTACTTGGAGAATTTCCAGATGGCACCATTGTGTGCTCTGAACTCGGGTTGCTTTGGATGGGTGTAGAACCTTCAGTGATGACCATGGTTTGGTGGATGTCTGATGGCTCTGACATGGGTGATGAACCAGGTGTACTTGACCAGACTGTAGGTTCTTCAACCAGCACTTTGGTTGTGGAAGTGTCTTCTGACATGGTAGCATGGGCTGATCCTAGGGCTGCTCACAGAAGTTGTAGAGTCTTCAGTCAAGGGAGTGGTCTGAGGACTGTGTGAAGGACCTGCAGTGTGTGTTGATTCCGGGTCACTGGGGAGGACTGAGGTGACCTCAGTCTGGACAGTGTGTGGAGAGCCAGCAGGAGATGTGCTTGTGCCAGCTGCATCTGGGCTGCCTGGTGAGGCTGTTGCTCCCTCAGTCAGGACTGTGCTTGGCCAGCCTGCTGTGGGCCCTGTGGAGTAGGCTGAGCTTGGGCTGAGTGGGGTCCCTGTCGACCCTTCATCCACAATGGTGGTCTGGGCACTTCCGGTGGCCACTGATTCCTGTATTGGACTTGGGCTGCTGGGGAATGGAGATTGTCCAGTCAGGACGGTGGATTGGGCGGTGTCATCTGGAAGAGTGGTGTGTGCAGGTCCTGAGCTGCTAGATATGGGTGTTGTTCCTTCCACTGGAACTGTGGATGGGGAGCTGTCAGGAGGCACTGTTGTGTGTTCTGGTCCTGGGCTGCCTGGGGAGGCTGTGGTTACTTCTGTCACAACAGTAACGTGTGAGCTTCCGGAGAAGAGGGTGGTGCTTGTGGATTCTGAGTGGAATGCCGATGCCCCACCCGGGGCAACGCTTGCTGAGCCGGCAGCTGTAACAGTGGTGTACGATGTGGATGTGCTGGTCCGGGGGACCGTGGATCCCCCCAGCTGTGGGCTGATATTGGAGATCTGAACTGTGGTAGTTGGATCCCCTCCTTTCGTGCTACCTGGGGAACTTGAGGCTGCACTCTGGAAGCCTGTGCTCCAGGAGCTGCTGGGTGATGGGGTGGTGGCACCCCATCTTTGGTTGCTTAAAATGTGGGAAGTGTCCGATGGCTGTGTGTGAGTGGAACTTGAAGTGCTTGGCGGTGAAGTCTCTTGGGTTCCCTCTGTGGCGTTTGGGCTCTTGGCTGACCCCGTGGAGTCTCTTGTTTCTGCACCACTGAAGGAGACTGCAGATGAGACGGGTGCTGGGCTGGGTGTTGACCCCGGGCTGTGTGAGCTGACAGAAGCCGCATACACAGTGGAAGGACTGAAGGAGTCGCTTGTATTGGGTACAGGGGTTTCAGTTCTACTGGTTTCAGTTGACCCAGTGGTATTTAGGTCTGCATGGGAAAAAAGAAATCAGAGAAGATGGTATGGTTGATCATTTTCTCATGGAGTTGCTCACTCTTATTCCTGAGGCAGGTAGGCTGGGAGATAGCTAGGTAGGCCAGGAAAGTAGAATCACGTTGTCCTTTCCCTCCGATGGCTAGGTAAACCTGTAGGCTCCATCAGATTTCCAGTGGCATTGTACACTCTTTTCCTGTTTGTGGAACTTAATAACATTCTGAGCCAGGCACTGAAGGCTCATACCTATAATTCTCCAAGGCTGAGATCTGAGGATTGTGGCTTCAAACCAGCCAGGGCAGGAAAGTTATCTCCCATTCACTGTAAGGAGCCAGAATTGGAGGGTGGCTCAAGTGGTAGCATGCTAGACTTGAGTGGAAAAAGCCCTGAACCTCTGTAACGGCAGTAAATGAATAGATGACGTTTTGTCTAGTAGTTATGCTGTTACTAATTTCCTGGCATTTGATTGTTATTTGTGACTTGAATTATTTGTAGTGTGGTTGTGGGTTTTGACAGATCTGTGGTGTGTGTGTGTGTGTGTGTGTGTGTGGATGTGTGTGTGGATGTGGATGTGCATGCTGGTCTCGGGGCTTGAAGTCAGTGCCCAGACTCTGCTTGAATTCAGGACCAAGGCACTGTCCCTAAGCTTTTTTTTCTTTTGGGTCCGGTCATGGGGCCTGAACTCTGGGCCTGGGCGCTGTCCCTCAGCTCTTCAGCTCAAGCCTAGCACTCTCCTACTTGAGCCACAGCACCACTTCCGGCTTTTTTCTTTTTGCTTATGTGGTGCTGAGGAATCGAACCCAGGGCCTCTGGCATGCAAGGCAAGCGCTCTACCACTGAGCCACCTTCCCAGCCCCCTAAGCTTTTTTTTCTCAAGGCTGGCACTCTACCATTTGAGCCACAGTTCTACTTCTGACTTTTTGTTGGTTCATTGGAGATAAGAGTTTCAAGGACTTTCCTGGCCAGGCTGGCTTTGGACCATGACCCTCAGATCTCAGCTTCCTGAGTAGCTGGGATTGCAGGTATTAGCCACAGGTGCCCGGCTATAAACCTGTGTGGTTTTATGGAACTCCGTGGATTTAGCCTCCACCCAGGTCCACCTGGGCCCTTTCCCATAGTACAACAGACGTGCTCATTGACTTGAGTACTCTGGCACAAATTCTCATGACATGTGCACTCCAGAGCTGCAGGACACAGTCCACATTCTGTGATTTATATCTCACATTGTCACTTCATATACTCTGGTTTGTACTCATTCTGACAAATTCCCTTTTTATTTTATTTTTTTCCAGTGCTAGGGGCCTCACACTTGTGTGCCTGGTTTGACTCTGCCACTTGAGCCATGCTTCTAACCCAGCTTTTTTTGTGGATTCATTGGCATTAAAATCTCGCAGACTTTTCTGCCCAGATTGGCCTTGAAACACAATCCTCTGTATCTCAGACTCCTGTGTAGCCAGGGTTACAGGCATGAGTCCCAGTGCTCAGCATCTTCCCCATCTTTATCTCCTATCTCAGACTCTCAAATGCTGGGATTACAGGCACGTACTACCACACCTGGCCTGTTTTGTTTCTTACTGGGGAAGTGCTCTACCACTAAGATATACCCAGGCAGCATCTGTGTCTTTGTTTAGAAGTCCATATGTTTGGTTTAGTCCAATTGTTTCTCCCTGAGCTGAATGCTAACTATGGAAGGAAGGAAGGGAGGGAAGAAGAGAGACAAAGGGAGAGAGACAGAAGAGGAAACAGAGGGAGAGAAAGAGATACAGACCAACAGACAAAAGGGAGAGAGAGAAAAAAACAGAAGAGATAGGAGAAAGAGACAGGGAGATAGACAGAGAGAGACATAAATGCAGATAGATGGACAGAGGAGAGAAACAGAGAGAAGACAGAGAGACAGGAGAGACAAGGAAAGAGAGATATAAATACAGATGGTCAGAAGAGAGACAGAAACAAGAGGACAGAAGAGAGAAAGGGAGTCAGAAAAGACAGAGACAAGGAAAGAGATGGAGAAAGAAACAGAGATACAGGTAGAAGAGAAAAAAGACTGAAGAGAGGGACAGACAGGCAGAAAAGAGAGAGACAAAAGACAGAAGAGAGGGGCTGGGAAGGTGGCTCAGTGGTAGAGCGCTTGCCTTGCATGCATGAGGCCCTGGGTTCGACTCCTCAGCACCACATAAGCAAAAAAGAAAAAAGCTGGATGTGGTGCTGTGGCTCAAGTGGTAGAGCGCTAGCCTTGAGCTGAAGAGCTGAAGGACAGCGCCCAGGCCCAGAGTTCAGGCCCCACAACCGGACCCAAAAAATAAATAAATAAATAAAAAGACAGAAGAGAGAGGAGAGACAGAGGGAGTGTCAGCAAAATGAGGTCGCTTCCCATGGCTTAGCACTCCCCTTGCCTTCTCCAGCGCTCAGCACGCTCCCTTCCTAGGCAACACTAGGCCCCTGTAGTAAAGGCAGTAAATAATCAACTTCCAGCCCCCTTTCCCTTGGGATGGTACTTCTCTGGGGCAGCAACCACCATAGAAGCCAACAAGAGCCCCTTACAGTGACCTTCAGGTCTGGGCAGCTGCAGGATCCCTTATCTACTGTTTGGACAGCAGCCATGAATCCTAGTCCGCCATGATGAAGCCCCTGGCCCACACGTCCACACCGGGGTCTCCACCTCCTCGCCCCATCTAGCCCCTCCTAAACCTCCTAGGTTCTATAGATCACCTCAGACAATGGCCGGCGCTTCTTCTCACGTCTCCCTTGTGGGAAGGAGTCTTGCCCGTCCCCTTTCCAGCAATAAACCTTTCTTTGTTCTCTGTGCCTGGATGTCTGCGTGATTCTCTGGCAAAGACTTATTTACTCTATCAGGGAGAGGCGTGATAGACAGGAGAAAGAGAGAGATAGAAAGAGGGGGGCAGGGAGGGGGGCAGATGTAGAGGGAGGGAAGGTGTACAAATGCAGCTATGGCACTCAGTGGACATTCTGTGGAAAATGAACTGAGCAACTGGTGCACAGGGATGGGAGGAGGAAGGGGGGAGGAAGTGAAGGATGGGGTGACACTATCCCAAAATATTTTGCTCATTGCCTGACTTATGAGAGCCACCCCTCCATCCAACACCTTAATAGTAACAATAAAATTATATTTAAAAGAAAGAAAAAAGGGGCTGGGCCAGGCGCTGGTGGCTCACGCCTGTAATCTCAGGAGGCTGAGATCTGAGGATCTCGGTTTAAAGCCAGCCTGAGCAGGAAAGGCTGTGAGACTCTTATCTCCAATAAACCACCAGAAAACCAGAAGTGGCATTGTGGCTCAAGTGGTAGAGTGCTTGCCTTGAGCTGAAGAGCACAGGGACAGTGCCCAGGCCCAGAGTTCAGGCCCCATGACCAACAAAAAAGAAAGGAAGGAAGGAAGGAAGAAAGAGGGGCTGGGAAGGTGGCTCAGTGGTAGAGTGGTGAGGCCCTGGGTTCGATTTCACAGCACCACATAAGCAGAAAAAGCCAGAAGTAGGACTGAGGCTCAAGTGGTAGAGTGCTAGCCTTGAGCTGAAGAGCTGAGGGACAGTGCCCAGGCCCAGAGTTTAGGCCCCATGACCAACCAAAAAAAAAAAAAAAGAAAAGAAAAGAAACAAAGGGGCTGGGACTGTGGCTCAGTGGTAGAGCACTTGCCTGGCATTCATGAAGCCCTGGGTTTGATTCCTCAGTAGCATATAAACAGAAAAAGCTAGAAGTGACACTGTAGCTCAAGTGATAGAGTGCTAGACTTGAGCCAAAGAAGCTTAGAAACATTGCCCAGGCCTTGAGTTCAAGCCCCAGGACCTGCAAAAAAGAAAGGAAGGAAGGAAGGGAGAGGGGGGGGAGGGAGAGA